GTCTAATGTGTTAAAAAAATGTCTTTAAATTGTTGATAAAACATGGATCATTGACATATGCTTTTTATAGGATAAGGGTGACAAACGAGCTCACAGTCCACCTGATGTTATGTGGTTACTGTAGCCCATAGACATCTACATACATCTATCCTCGATTACGTATCAAAATGCAGATTTTGTCACTCCTGAGAACTCCGGTTCTCTACACTCACCATATGAAATACAGCAGCGTGAGGCTGCTATTTCTCGCTGATATTCTGTGAGAGCGTGGTCCTTCCCCAATCAAACCGATCCATTCGTGCTACAACTTACTTATAATATAGCTGCAGCATGGCTCTACCAAGTAAAAGAGATGTAAGTATAGTGTGTCACTGTTAGTTGAGATTCATTCAATTGGCGGTAGCGAAGTTTTTAAATTAGTAGAAAATCTATTTTTAACGTTACCGTTGAAGGCAATGTGGATAGTTTCGTAACTTGACGCTTTATACGAGTATATAAATTCTCAAATCAGTTACAAGCGTTATAATCAATTTTTGCATTAGGGTTTTATTTAAATTTTTTGGCATTAAATTTATCTAAAACTTCATGAAATTCACTACGTAATTGTTCTATATTCGAAGCGGCACTAAGAAACAATTTCTGCCCGTCCAAATTATTGAATGCGTCCTTTAAAGTCTCGTAAATTTTTTGTTAGCGTTCATAAATATAATTACGATTAGCGATAATATTTTTAAACTAACTGCTTCATCCAAAAACGGGTTTAGATTCTATACTTCTGGTCGCCATTTTCTACAAAAAAGGTGGTCTAAAATATTATTGTAATAAGTGACGGTAGAGTTAACTATACCGCGGAACGAAGTTATCTCGCGTTATGGCGGTTCATGAAACAAGAAAAATATCATTAAAGTAATAAGGATGTAGTGCGGTATGCGTTACAAAGTAAATTTTATACGTGTAAAAGGCGGTGCGGGTCAAATATAAATTATAATTAATATAATTAAAGCTATAATAAATATAATCACATAATATATACGTATGCATTTTTTGTATTATATAAAGAAATTAACATATAAGGAATAACTTCTACAGGCCGAAAGCTTAGAATTATTGCGGTTCGAAGTTACCAGAAAGATGGGTAAAATTAATAAATAATCCGGCGAGAAGGTTCAGAAAATGGTTAAAATATCCCTTCCAGAGTGACCAAAAAATGGTAGGTTGACTTAAGTGACCAACTGCTGGTTCAATGTTATTATAATGATGATTATACTTAAATCAATTAACTGTAGGATGCGGTGGACATTTACTATTTGGTGATACTACAAACGCCCTAAATTCGGGCTACAGGAAGTACGTGAAGGAATGCATGTGCACTCACCTGGACTTAGACTGATCTGCCCCGTTTTTCAAGCACTGCAGTAATGAAGATTGGATGTTGGTTTTGTTAACACATATAAACTTCACAGATAATAGTTTTATTGTAAATGTCTATATACTTTACAATATTTTTGTATAGTTTCATATCAAAACTACACAAAGGTAGAAGTGATGACACGAGATAGGAGCGATGCGGTTGGTTTCGTGTCTTCTGAACTTATGCGAACCCCGTTAACATAAGAGTGTACATGGGCCAACCCTGAAATGTGCTTTGCAGTACTCTGCAGTACTATTGGATAGTGATTAACCAATCTCATAAGCGTTAGGTGATAGTACAAAGAGGCGCGAACAATTGCTTTATTTAACTTGTATAAAAATTGGAAACTTATGAAATTCCCAAATGTTTTTATCTATTAATTGTAATAACATTACTAAAGCGCTGAGGGTTACGGATTCAATTTTCAAAAGCAACGTCTACTTGTGTGAACTAAAAACTATTGTTCCGGATCTAGATGTCTGATCGTGTGTAATTTTCATTACGTAGTAGAGCCACGCTGCAGCTATATTATGGTTATAATAATAATAATAATAATAATATAATAATAATATAACTTTATTTCAGACATAATTAGTCCATATTAAGTGTAAGTATATTAGTAACAATTTTACTTAATAACTATGTTAGTGATGTTAGTATTACATAATAATAATATTTATACATAATTCATTATCTTTTTAATCCTATTGCCAGCTCTACCCAGTGTCGCTGAAAGCGGCAATCCGGTCTCGCCGCGATCATTTTTAAAATGCTGTTATTACTGTTTCGCAGACGCTGTAACATTGAGGCTGATTTCTTTCGCATAACAGCATGAAATCCATTAGTTCTAGTATCCGCGAACATTTTCGAAGCACTACAGCGCCATGGCAGTCCCAACAGCATTCTAAAAGCGTTATTGTATTGAATGCGAAGGGCGCTGTAAGCTCGTCGCCTGTATGATACCCACAGGCTACTCGAGTAAAAAGATTGGCAAAATGCTTTGAAAAGAGTGACTTTTACGTCATCTGTACATCGAGCAAACCTGCGGGCAAGCATATTGCTCCTAACTGCCAGCGCCCTACGCTCCCTCTCTATATCACAATCATCTCTTAAATCGCTCGTTATAATGTGACCAAGATACTTAAGAGTATTCACAATATTTAGGACTATACCATTGAGGTATACGGGAGGAACACGACGCGGTGGCTGTTTAGGTGCTCTAAAAACAAGAATTTCACTCTTTTTAGAGTTGTACTTAAGGCCGTGATCCTCCGCATATTTCTCGCAAATAGACAATAGTTTCTTTAATCCGCCCACAGATGGACTGAGCAGCACCATGTCGTCTGCATAGCTTATATTATTAACACATGTCTCGTCAATATGACAGCCGACATGTGTGCTAATCAGTTCCACGATAAGCTGGTTAATATATAAATTAAATAACAACGGTGAGCTTAAACCGCCTTGTCTGACACCAGATTTTAATCTATATTCATCTGATAGCGTACCCGCCCATCTCACCTGGTTTTTTTGATTACTGTACCAGTACTTGATCAGAGAAGTATAATCTGCCGGCACACCCGCGTTTCCCAACTTGCTCCATAGTACATCATAATTGACCAAGTCAAAAGCCTTGGATAAGTCGAGGAAACACGCGTATACCGGCGTCCTCCTAGCAGTGTAATACCCGACAGTATGCTTCAATGTAAGAATTGCACTTTCCGTCGACAATCCTACCCTGAATCCGAACTGCGCGTCATGCACATCTACATATTTTATGAGACAACCATTTAACAAACTGTCAAGTACTTTCGCCGCGGTGGTAGCAAGTGAGATAGGCCGGTAGTTGCTAATATCAGAAGCATCACCTGTCTTGTTTTTAATAATTGGCACCACTATTGTTCGCATCAGCCCCTCAGGCAAATAAGAGTGAACTAGACACTGGGTAAAAAACATGGCAAGAACTCGTGGTAAATGGATCCCTGCGTATTTAAAATGTTCAATACTGAGACCATCGTGACCCGGGGACTTCCCACGCTGCATTCTCTCAATAATCTGAGCCACCATTTTAGCGGGTATCTTAACATTACGTTCCTTCACGATGGTCTCACCATCGCTCATCTCCTCACACATGGGACTTAAGAGTGACTGCATGGTGAACTGTTTCCTAAAAGCATCCGCAATTTCTTTATGGTCACAAGCACCACCGACGTCCACAGGGAGGCACGGCCTTATATTCATTTTATTTGTGTTTTTCCAGAAATTTTTAAACTTTTTCGAGGAGTGGTCGGAAGCAAGGCGGTCCATTTTAAGTTGCTCTTGCCTGTCCTGGCACCATTTAAGTTTCGCTTTAAAGAGCCTCCTTGCCTCCGCCATATCATTAAAAATTCGACCACTAGCTGGCCGCCCAGCTAAATTCCACAATTTAAATTTCAGCCTTGCCTCCCGGTGGGGGCCCGCGACATGCTTATTCCATCCAATAACATAGCCTCCCTTCTTTCGACACTTAACTTTGTGTGTTTGGATAGCGGCCTCAGACAATATATTTATTATATCTAAATACAACTTATCTAAGGCTGAGTGATGATTCTTGTTATTACAGAACTCATCACAACATGCACTTAGTTCCTGTGGAAATTCTATTTGTTTTAACTTAGCATGACAGAGGTCATGATACTGGTCAATTTGCTGCTGCTGTCTCTCTCCCCATATAACACGGCTCATAGGTTGTTCTATATCCAATTTGGCTACTTTTGGCTTAAGTTTACCCAGGTTACATACGACTACTAGTGGGTAGTGGTCAGACCAATACACGTCATATTTTACCGTTACGTTAACGATTGTATTCCGCGCTGACTCTGTGACAATGCAGTGATCCAACCATCTATTACAACCGTGAGCCTCACTACAATAGGTATATGTATTACTGACACACATATTTAAATCTACACAAATCCAATTAAGATCCACACAGAAGTCCAACATTACATTATAAAATAATTCACTAGGGTGTGCATTAAAGTCTCCTAAGATATAAAAAGCCGATACTCCATTATTCTCCTCTATTTCTATTATAGAGCGAATGGCTCCAAGACACGCAGTAAACTCGGAAAGGTTATCATATGAGTTTGTAGGCATATACACACTGAACATAACTACTGATCTATTACTCACGTTTAGCTTTATCGCGCAGATCCTCTCGTTATCACACTCAATCACATTCACTGACTCGAAGGCACACTTACGCCATAACAGCGCCACCCCGCCATACGGCCTCCCGCTGAGTAAGCCTGCCGCAGTATCGACTGCAGACGTACCGGTAGACCCAAAGTTGCTATCAATCGTGTTGAGTATAGGCAGATCATGTGGCAACAACCACGTCTCCTGGAGAGCTACCACATCAGCTGTCTGACATAAGGTCCTCACTCCTTCTATTGACCTTTTGATAGATTTACAATTAAAACTTATTATTTTACTGTATTTTTCCATTAACTTTCTAAAGTTATATTTATATAGTATCTCACTGTAAAATACTTAGCTTATAATATTGTATTTATATATATAAATATAAATGTATTTATATTTGAATTTATGTATCTTTGTTCTCTGTTATTTCAGTATTTTCCTTACTTTCTCGCCTTCCATAAAAGTTTACAAACCGTCTAAACGATATACCAGATGGCCACAGCTTATCGTCCAGGAATGTATCAATCTTGTGCTTAGCTACAAACAATTTATATGCACTGTAGTCTCTTTGTCGCTTCATTTGAATTTTTACAAGAGACACCTTTTCCCGCGTTTTTTCATATATATAGTTAACAATGTCCTGTTCATCCACATCCTTATGTACATTAGATATAAAAAGGGGCACCTGCGTGTCCGCTGCCTTAAACTTTAGACTTTTTCCCTCTAAATCAACCGCCGTTCCTTTTTGACTTATAAATCGGTTTCTTAGTCTCCGTTTTTGGACTACAATCCATTCTTCGCTTCTTTTTGGTTCCTTCCATACTCCATCTCTCTGAACCACCTCAGAAAAAGTCTTTCGCCTCGCTATTAATGTATCATTTATTTGTTCATCCTTATCAATTAACGCGTCGAACGGCTTGCTAACGTGCCCATCAGCTGTTTCATTCACTACAGGTATAAACGGTCGCGTTGCACTATGAATCATTTTGCACTCATCTCCTATCGCATTCGCACATCGTGAGCTTTGTAATACACTCGCTGGAGGTTGCGACTTCTCATTCACACTTGATATAATTATTGGCGATGAGTGACGGGAATGCATAGATTCTTGATGTGATTTATTAGACAGAGACTTACACTTTTCTGGTTCATTAGCCTCAGCAATGTATGACGCATTATTGCAAGATGTTGAGAGCGCCATCGGTCCGCTATCGTACATAAAATTGTCACAATCACCTCTTTTGTATATAATATTTTGTTCGCGGTTCGCAAATGAATTTAATCTAAAATACTCATTTATTTCTTCATGAAGTTGGTTTTTCGTAACGTACTGATGTTGAATGCCATGTATAGTTTTCTCTAATAGTACTATCTTTTTAAGCAACACTGTCACATCAACATGATCGAACGTTACGGGTGGAAGTTTTTCTAATCGTCTTGCTACAAAAATTGGTACCTGTTCGGGGTCTGTTTCTTTAAGCAAGCAGATGATATCCTCAATATTCCTTAGGGTTTTGCCCTGTCGTTTTCTAATTTTTGGTCGCTTGCTCACTGATTCAAATAATAACGACTTCGCTAATTCAATTTCTTCAGCACTAAATGAACTTTCACAAATCTGTATCAGGCTTTGTTCATCCATCACATCTAGTTTATTTTGCACAAAGGCCAATACTTCACAAATTACAATATTACAATTTGAACACTTCAAGCGCTTCGATATGCTATCCATTGCAGCGGAATAGATCAATGACAGCGTGCGCTTGCGTTCACGGTCTAGACCCGACTGACGGTTATGGCATGTATAGGTTGGCTAGACCATCTCCATTCTAATTACCCCTAATGATTTTAGTTTTATTAACACTAACGAAAGATAAAAGGAAATAAGATAAAAATAACGTTAAGCAATTGTAGTCTTGTAAGGTATTGTTGGGCAAGCTTTGTTTTTTTTTGGCATTTGATTTTTCTGTGCTTATGTACGTTATAAAAAGCTGTCTGCAGATATATGATACAAGGAAATAACGATAAATAAAAAAAATACGCAATATCGATATTGGTAGGAACTCGACAAAGCGGACATTGCATGGAAATCGTATCGACCTTTAAAAATCCTTCATAATACAATACTATCAAAGAATACGATTCTACCAAACATACTAAAAAAATATCAAAAATGATCTTGTCTGTTTTCAGACAAAAATCGTAAAAATTCTATGATATCATAATGAAACCACTAAATTAGTTATAAAAGAAAGTGGAAATCAATGAAGAGCAAATAAAATAGAAGTGTTAGCAATGAAATGTTGTCTTAGGTGAAATGAAATTCCTTATTTTGTTCTGTTATTGATATTATTTTTATTATCATCAAGAGGAAAATTCACAGCAAGTCCGTAAAAGAAAAGAAAGAACGTAAAAAATATTTATTTTGTAACATAATAAAGAGCAATAGCCTTGTATAGGCGGTGTAAGAATATCCATTACCCCATATCATACCGTGGGTGTCGAAAGAGGCGACAGACTGAAAGTGAAACGGGAGCTGGGCAACAGTATTTTCCATATCACAACTTAGGAAAACAAAAACTAGATTTGCCAGCCCGCCTGCTAAGCGTTTACATTAGGGCAAATATTATATATTCTGTAGAAATAATAAAATATTATACTAGTATATTTAATACTAATATAATTTATTACTTAATTATTTTATATTAAATAAAATAATTAAGTATTATATTATAAGTTATAATTAATGTTTGTGTAATGGGCATTTATTGTTTAGTCGTTGCGCGTTGCGTCGCGTTCTACCGGTACGAGGCTTATTGCCAATATGGCTGGCTCATTGCCAGTAAACTGAAGTAATCCGTTGGGCTACGTCTGATTCTACTACAGAAATCCTCATTTCTATGTTTATCATGCTGAGAAATCCCGAGCATAGCCCTCTCCTTCTTACTCACCGAGCGACCTTGAGCTTCCTCATACGTCCAGCAGTAACGGACAATGTCTCAGTGTGCCTAGTGCGAGTTCCACAAAATAATTCGAATGACTTCACCATCGCGTTAACCGAGTTAACGTCATACCTATCGACAAGTGAAGACAAGCGAGTGTGTGTTACAATCGAAGCTAACCTTTTGATTCGCGTTTACTCACCGTGAATCGCGTTCGTTCCTTCTCTTATGTTGGTAACACGTTAGCGTCGTGAAATAAACTAACCAAGTTTAGGATGACATATGTGGTAGTTGCAATTCTTTTCTTTGTTAATTACTTTAATCAATATAACCAAGACAACAAGTTAAAACAGTTATTAATTATAATATTTTCTTCATGTCCATTAAAACATCCTATCGTTACTTTTTCATTTTTTAAACATCATCGATCAAAGTCAGAATAAAAAGTAATATATATATATATATATATATATATATTGTATAACCATAGGCAATAGCTGCCAGTATTTTTCTCTGACTAATAACCTACTTGAATCTACAACATCCTCCCCACACAGAAAAATATGATAGTAGAGTCGATATAATATAATACAAAATACTTAAACATAACATGTAATCGAATTAAGTTAAGTTTAAGTGTATTCACACATTCATTACAAGTATAGATGAATTCAACGACTTCAATTTTTAATGTTTATTAGAGAGCATTATTTTAAATAAACATTCCTAACTAATTGACTAAATGCATTTCGTCAACTTAATCTAAGAATCTTCTTGGAACATTAATTACTCTACCATGTCTAGTACTAATAGAAGATGTTTGAGGTAAATCAGATGATATTATGTCCGAATTCAAAGTCGCCTGGGAACTATAATCCTTAATGTTAGGGTTAGTCTCTGTCTTATTTCTATTAGTAGATGGACTGGCCCTGTGCCATTCGTTTGTAACTGTTGTTAATTCCAGTGGGTAAAGACTTTGTACAGCTCTAACCAATTCACCGGTAGCTGTTTGTACTTTTGCAACTCTACAATTACCATCAGCACCTATAATTAACTCCTTTATAATACCTAATGGCCAATATAGCCGACTAGTGTCAGTTTCAATAAGAACAATATCGTTTAATTTCGGCAAATTTTGTTTACATCTATCTTTACTACAAATTAAAGCAATATATTCGTTTCTAAAACGTTGTCGAAAATCTGCACGTAATTTGTTTAGATATTGTAAACGAATATTTATGTTTTTTGCATCAATCAGATCTAAATCAGGCATCTCACTATTATCTAAGGGATGTAGAAACATCATTGGAGTAAGTGGTTTAAGAGAGTCATCAGCTGTTGCTACGTATGTCAATGGTCGGCTGTTAATGATTGCTTCGCAGTCACAAATTATTGTTGATAATTCAATCAAAGTTAAGGATTGTTTTCCCAAGATTCTTCTTAACATTTCCTTTACTACCTTTATAAGGCGCTCCCACCATCCTCCCCACCAGGGCGCACGTGGAGGTACAAAACGCCACTTGATAGCTGGTGGAACTATGCTAGTTGCTGCTTCGACTTTTGCCCAATCAACCTCTTTTAATAAATTGGCTGAACCTTGAAAATTCGTACCACAATCAGTATATATAATGTTTATGCGGCCCCTTCGAGCTATGAAACGACGTAAGGCCATCAAGAAACTATTTGTGGATAAAGATTCCACAAGCTCTAGGTGAACTGCTCTATATGTAGCACAAGTAAATAATACTATCCAACATTTGCTTTGGTCACGGAGATGTAGAGGTCCCGCTAAATCTATACCAGTTATCTGGAATGCTGCATTTGCCTCAACTCTGTTTGATGGCAATGGTGCTTCAGGAACCTCGTAATGTTTTGTCTTGTATCTCTTACATATAACACATTTAGAAACAACGCTTTTAACAAGACGTCTTAGGTTTAAAATCCATAAATTGTTTCTGAGGTTGGATAGTAAGAGCTGAGTTCCTCCATGATTTAACTTTTCATGTCTCTGTCGCACTAACCGCTGTACGATTTCGTTTTTTCCTGGTAGAAGTATTGGCCTTACAAAATTCTTGTCTTCTTTACTCAAATCTAAAGGTGTTTTTACTCTTATCACCCCATCGGCATCTATTTCTGTATTTATATTATGTAACGAAAACCCTTCTGTAAAATTCTCTTTCTGTAATAATTTAATTAGTGTCTTTTCTGCATTGATATATTCATCATTTGTTATGTCTGACTCCTTTATGCCAAACTTTATTTTTATTTTACAATTCATACGTAATATCCATGCCACAAGTCTAACTATGCGGTTATATTTTGAAAAATATGTCAATTTTTGACTGAATGGTTCTATTGTGACATTTGTATTAATCTTGGCGTTTTTGGTTACTTCTGCTTCTACAATCTCTTCATTGACATTTATAATGTTTGATTTTGGCCAATCCTTCTCATTAAGCTTCAACCATGCTGGGCCTCTTCTATCTACTTTCCATAAGCTTCTTTGCGTCACAACCTCGTGATGGAAGATCTGATGGATTGTACTCACCAGGTAGATGGTACCAATCGTCACGATTGGTTGTTGAGCATATTTCTTTCACTCTATTGGAAACAAATGGTTTCCAATGTGCTTGTCTTTTTAGCCATGATAGCACCACAGCAGAGTCAGTCCAAAAATAAACCTTGTATTCCTTACATTTTGTTAGCAATCTTGACTCTAAAACCTCTTTGTATAGTCGAGTTGCAATGAGCGCCCCCATAAGTTCTAGTCTTGGTAAAGACATTTTTCTTTTAGCTGGGGTTACCCGATTTTTTGCTAAAACTAATTGGACTTTTACCTGTTCGTTTAATTTTGTTCTTAAAAACAAACATGCAGCAAAAGATGTTAGGCTGGCATCACAAAATATATGAAGACTTGTCTGACATTTTTCTAAAGGTGCGATTGAGATATGTCTAGGAAACAGACATTGATTGATGAAATGTGCTTTACTTAACCAGATTTTGAACTCTTGGGCTAACTCTTCGGGTATTTCATGATCCCAATCTATGTTATGTTCCCAAATTTTCTGCATAATAAGTTTGGGTATTAAAGTTGCTATGCAAACAAGTCCCAGTGGATCGAATATATGTTGTGCCACAGCAATCACATACCTTTTCGTTATTTTCTCCGATCTTGCTTCACTTATGTTGACATAACATCTTAAATTGTCTAGAATTGTATTCCATGTCATCCCAAGCACAGGAACTTCAACAATGCTATCTATTCTGTGAGGTGCTGTTACCCATCCACGCAGATCAAACATACCTTTTGCCATTATTTCCTTAGATTCCGATATAAATATATTCATTTCATCTACATTATCAAAACTTGCAACACAATTGTCTACATAAAAAGATTTTTTCAATTTGTTAACAGTTTTCCTGTACTTTTCTGAATACTTACTCAAATGATACATTATTGTGGCACTCAACAAAAATGGACTACACGTAATTCCAAAAACCACTCTTTTGTGTCGATATACAACTAATTCATTACAAGTTTGTATATTTTCCCACCAGAGAAATTTCAAGTAATCTCGATCTTTTTCTGCAATAGATATCTGTAAAAATGCTTGTTTTATATCAGATATAACTCCATAAGCACCTTTTCTAAATTGTATTAATAATTTTGGTAACAATTCAATCATATTAATACCTTTATCTAAACAACCGTTAAGAGTCCATCCATTGTTGTCTTTTGTAGAAGCATCAAATACTGGACGTACACGTGTTGTCATACTAGATAATTTAA